TTGTGGGTTTCAAAGAAGCTTCCATTCAGAGAACCCTTTGAATGAGAAAATAAACATCCAATAACAATCAAGAATCACATAGCGAACAAGATGACATTAGAAATTCCATTCATTCAAAAAGTAGTGCTTACCAGATCAGACATATGCAATCCAAATTAATATGATGAATACATGCAAGGATATTGCAATATAATGTAAAAATCAGATTTAGCTATGTGATGAAGCCACAGCTGGCATATGAAACTATTAGAGCGTGGTGTGGTCAACATAAATGAAGTATGAACTTCATATAGCACGCTTCTTTACTTTTGCCAAAAATGTTGTTGAAATATACTGAATGATTCCAGCACTCCACAATAGCACCCATATTTGTTTGCCTATAACAAGCAGTTATATTAGTACATCAGTGTGTTGTTGTTTTTTCTGGGCACTTCAAGTAAAAATGCTTTGCCAATCTGAAGGTCATTAAAGTCATGAATTAGCATGTGTGTGCACCTTCTGGTGGTTGTTGACTTATGGCAATCCGATACATTTATTAGGATTTTCCAAGACAAAGAATACTCAGAGGTGGTTTTGCTAGCTCTTTTCTCTGAAATATAGCCTACAGCACCTGGCATTCATTGGTGGTCTTTCATTCAAGTACCAACTAGAGTTGGCCATGCTAGGTTTCCAAGATCAGACAAGATCTGGTGACTTGAGGGTATTTAAGCCCCTAGCACAGGACACATGATGGGTACATTTGCTGCATCACTTACCTGCCTGGTATCTTGCCTGTTACCAGACTTAGTGTATGACTATCTGCAATCGTTTTCAGGTACCTTGGGTCTAATATACCTTATATAAACAAAGTATGAGGTCCTATGAACAAGGTGGCTATCTAGCTACAGCAGGGCTTTGAAATGAGTTTGTAAGTATGAACTGTTGCTTCATTGGCTGGCAGCGTAGAAAGGACAGTGTGATGTCACAATGGGACATGTGGGCTGGTCAACAAAATAAGGTCACAACTGCCATCACAACTACCAAGAAAACAGATCATGATTTGTTTTCAGAAGCAGGTGTTTTTTTCTGTTATTCTTTGCCATAACTTTGATGTATGATTTCTTTATTTTGTGGATCTGTTCAAAGAAAAAAAGTTGGATTGTTAATCAAACTGCAAGCAATAAGAGCAAATGTTCATTTTAAATGATGTGACTACAGAGATTGTGGTGTAAGTGATATATTTTCTTTCTTTCTTTTTACTGGGTACCCACAGGTTGTACCCATGCTGTGCTGTGAAAATTAGACGTTTATGATTTATACATTGGATTCATTTTTGAAGAAACCCTTTCATTATCTTAATTGATGAATTTGTGATTTCCTATTGGCAAGTTTAAACTACATAGCAGTTCATTCTACATCATCCTTAAGATGAATCTCTAAAGTTAAGTGAAAGGATCCAATATTTATGAAAGTGTGAGTTTATACTACAATATATGTTTCAGAATTGTATGGTTCCATAAACAGATCTCTTTTAGATAATAAAGTATGAGTTATGTCTATGACTTCTAAAGATTTTTATTTGAAAACACAGACTATTTGAGAATCAGTCTCAATATGTTTTATGCTAGGATTCTTAATAAAGTTACTGCATGCCCTGGCATCTCTTGGTAGGTTTAAGGAAAAAGTCTGACTAAAATCCTTTTGGGTAGCTGGTTGTTATTGTTGTGTGCCTTCCAGAAGTTTCCAATTTACTGAAGTCCTAAAACTAATCTCTCAAAGGTTTTCTTGGGAAGCTTTGTTCAGAGGGGATTTGCCTTTGCTTTCTTATGAGGTTGAGAACCTGTGACTTGCCCAATGTATTCCAATGGGTTTCCTTGGCCCAACAGCATTTTGAATCCTTGTCTCCAGTCGTGGTCCAATGCTCAAACCAATATATCATACTGGCACTCACAGGGTAGATGGGGCAATGGTCTAATACAATGGTTCTCAACCTGTGGGTCCCCAGATGTTTTGGCCTTCAACTCCCAGAAATCCTAACAGCTGGTAAACTGGCTGGGATTTCTGGGAGTTGTAGGCCAAAACACCTGGGGACCTACAGGTTGAGAACCACTGGTCTAATGGGATTTAAAGCAAGCTCTCTGTGTTCCTAAGTTTGACCTAAAGTATGTAATCCATTTAATGGTGTGTGTTTTGAAGAACACTCAAGATAGTTAGAACCTTTCTGACACTTCCAAGATTCTTCGGCTGGAGGAAATGAAATTCAATTTCTCCGTGTTTTATCATATAATGTGGAGTGAGGTATACAAAATGATCCTTGAAAAACTCCTTCCTTGGAAGCTTTTAAACAGAGACTAGATGGCCATCTGTCAGGGGTACCTAGATGGCCCATGTGGTCTCTTCCAACTCCATTACTTTATGATTCTAAGAACAATGCTTCTGAGAAGGAGCACACATAGAAAGAAGACCATTGAGACGAAAGTGAGTTCAAGTATGGGAGCTATTTCAATATATAGCTTTGCCATGCCACTCTGAATAAGTCAGATCTGACATCACATGGGAAAAGTTGACGATGGTGCTACTCCTGACTGTAGCTTCACACCTAGCACAAATTGAAGGACAGTTTGGGTAGGGTCAACATAATGGCCTAAATCCATTTGTGAGTCTCAGTCAGAAGAAATTCATTGACTCAATGGAAATGCAATAAGCCAAACATTTTGTTTGTTTTGTTGATTCTACTGTTCTGTTCTGGTTGGATTTTGTCCTAGTCTTCCAGGCTCTGATTTTAACATACAGAACCATGGAAATAAATTCTATTTTAAGAATAAAGGTAGAGTTCTCCTCCAGACTCGAAATTTTATAAAGTTTAAGCTGTGATCTAAAGCCCATTGGATTCAAAGCAATACTTGTTTGTTATAGAAATTATGTCTTTTACTTTATTTTCATCGGTAGTTTCTTGGAAGGGGATCCAGGTTTAGAATTAGCTTTCTGTATGGCTCGCTGGCTTTTGAACATGAGAGGGTTGTGAAAGCCTTTGGATCACAACTACGGAAGTATGGTATTGGATTGCAGAAGTGCCTCAGTGTAGCCTTCTTATAGTAAAATATTTTGAATTCTTCCTCTGCATGCTAGTGCAGCTCCTTGAACATTTAACAGCTGGTTTCTACTTCAAAATTCCCTGCTGAGACACTTTTTGCTCTTAAGTTCAAAAGCTCCCTCTGATTCAAAGCTGTGTAAGGACACAATACAGAGCCAGGATTAATAGTCACAGGAAAGCTCAGCTTCACATATTCATGCATTTAAGTACTCAAGTACTGATAAAAGAAACCTGGCATACATTTCATTTGCGGATTCAAAAAGAGAGTGTTCATCTAAGCTAAGTATGCTTTTATAAAGTCAAAAGAACCTTTTGAATTTAGCCATTTTAAAATTAATTTTAGTTTTTACCAATGTGAATGTTCATCCAAATGAATATTTGCATCTTGTTTATGAAAAAAATACATAGCACCTCTCCTTTGGGCTAGACTATAGACTGGTACTTTGAGTAGTCCTTCCATTAGGATGCTGTACATTTTGTTAGGCTCATAGCTTTCTGTGTATCCCTTATCAACCTATAATCTCCTGATTGTTGCCTCTTTTTCAACAGCTGAGGAGCAGTAATCCACACTTGCTTATCTCTCTTAATCACAACCTCACAGTGCTAGGGCTTCCTGAGCCTTTAATTCCCTCTTAGAGGCATAACTGAGTGGAAAGTAAACAAAGACAAATTTGCAACCTTCAACGTTGCTAATTTGCTCTGATGTCAGAATATTTAAACAGAGGCGAACCTGGGAATTATTTGATCAAGGCTGTTTTAAAACATTTTGCTTGTAGAAAGGGATGAGTCTGGGAGGATCTGCAAAATGACAGCCTTCCCGAGAGGCATGCTGAAGGTTTTCTCTTTCAACAACAGTAGCTTTTCTGTGAAAAAGCTTTAAAAAACCGGGTTTTGAAAAAGTCTTACAATAGCTCTTCTCAGAACACTTCTCTGTCTTTTCATTTCTGGATGCCCAAGCACATAGGCCAGCATTGTCTTTTGTTCCAATTAAATGGGGGTGATTTTTTTCCCCATTCTCTGTTTAAAAAGACAAACTCTTTGCCACTTCCCCCTCTGAATTCTTTTTTGGCTTAGTCGAGGCGTTGTAACACACCGTGAGATCACTTTCTATTTGCAAACATAGTAAGGGGTAATTGCACCTCAAAATCACTTTGACTTGACTTGCAGTTTACATTGTGTGAACGTGTAAATTATTCGGGCTGGCCATATAGATGGTAGTGCAGTTGCTCTCTCTCTCTCTCTAAGAATGCTGAAAGATAAAAAATGTTAGAACTTCTGTCCCTTACATATCCAGTTGTAAGATTAATTAAATGCATACATTTTTGTAACACTTTTGTAACATCCATTCCTCCTTTATACCCAGATAAGAAACAGATAAGCAGTTAGATTCACACAGCAGACAGTTAGTCTGTCTCAAATAATTTAGTTTTATATTTCTCTTTATACTCAGCCACATTTACCCAGCTGCATACCCAAGTGCTCCTATTTGCCTTTACTGTGTGTTCAGCTCCTGCATCCTTGTTTTTATCGTCAGCCCAAACGGCTCATTCCCCACCTTTGCCTCTCTCCAAATGATGTTTCTCTTTGTTACTACCTTTTGTACTCAGTTGGCTTCGGCTCAACTAAGTAGGATTTAGCATGCTGGCAACTTGCTTTAAAGGTACAGTGATTGTGCTGAACAGTTGCAACTTACATTTCTCAAGGGTCTGTCCAGTGATGGAAATACATATGCATTAGTGGAAATGTACCATTCTGGACATTGTTCTGAGAGGTATGCAGCGCATCTCCCCTCCACTACCAGTATTTTGCATTTGGCTGTACACATGCGGTTACTACCATTTGGTTATTTGTGTTTCTTCTCCCTTCCTCCCCTCCCCTTTTCTCCTCTCTCCGCCCCTCCACTCACTCACTCTCTCTTTCTCTCCAGCTGGTGTAAATGACTGCTGCTGCCTCCCAGACCAAGATAACCTGCGCCGTCAGCTGGAGCCCCCTGTGGACAGCTGTCTCTCTCGCTCTCAGCTGATGGAAACTGCTACTAACCGCTGAATGGGGGAGAGTGAAACCACAGTACCAGCAACCACAGCAGCAAAGGCACCGGCTGCAATAGAAGCAGCAGCGGCAGCAAGAAGCAAGGGATCTATTGTTCCCTGGTGTTAAACACCCCCCCCCCCATCTTTTCAACTGACATGCACAATAGCTGGGAAGCCCTTTCCACTAAGTCCTCCCTGTGAAGAAATTCTGACGGGGAAGAGAAATTATTCATACAGGGGTTAGCCATTGTGCGACAGATATTTTTTTTGGACATTGGAAGCTGGCTTCTGGAAGGCATGGGGCTGAGCGAGAGGAGCGCAACCTCATGCGGTGGTCCGGGGACTTCTGCTCTTTCAAGCAGGTGTAGTGGAGTTCTTGTGCTTCTCTTCTTTGGAATCTGGGGAGCAAGGACACAAAGTGAATTTGAAACTTCGTCTGTGTATTTGTGGAAGACTGGTAAGTGAAGGATGGGGCGATCTGCGGTATTGCCTTTGCAGACATTTCATATCGGTGGCTGGTGTAGTTTTCAATTGTAGATCTCCTGGATTATTTTATTAAGAGAATATCAGTTTGGGCGCATTTAATGACAGATGGCTTTCCAGCCCTATCCTGTGATTATTTGATTCCTCTGTTGTTTTTCTAATCGCCCCATGCCCTGTGTTAATGGAGTGTATGCTCAGTGATTGAAGGAAAGCAAATATCTCTATAAAATCACAGTGCTTGATAGTGGGGTAAGAATATTCAATGTGCACAAAACCAAGCTGAGATCCATTATACGTTTTCATCTATATTGTGATATGTTCAGAATCATCATGCATATGGGTTGGTGGGTTTTAAAATTTGTGTTTGTTACATGGTATATAGGACATGAAAGAGCTAAGGATGGATTAGATGAAATAATCCAAGAGTTGCCCTCTCTCATAATTGAAGAGCCCCATAGCAAATAGGCTGTATGGATCAACATCAAACCAGACAGATGATTTTGTTGATTGTGGTGTAAGGAGAGTAATGTGTCTGCTTTCAAAGAGCATGCAGTCACTGTGTTTGTTCTCAACTTTTCAACAAAAATCAATGTTTTTCTATGCGAATTTACTGCATTGATCTGCAGGTCTTTAATGATAAGTTAGTGACACTCTTGTGTTTCTTGAAAAAAACTGTCATAAAGCTTGTTCCTTGTTTCAAAGATGCTACAGTATTTTTTTAAATAAAAAGCTGAAGGTTTATCAGTTATGTTGACTTGCAGTATTTTAGAGGAGTATAAACTCTATAGTTGTAATAAATGTAAAGATAGTGGAGGCATCGCAGAAGTCGACTCCTAGACGGAGATTTAGCAATGTTAAGAAGTGTATTAAGGGAACCATCCCTTGCTCACTTAACTGAGAGATAGTTCCCATTGAGCATTACTTCTGGGTAGACATGTAGGATTTTCCTGTTGGTGTCCAAAATAAAATGGGGGTGGCTATGGTGGAAGAATCTTGGAGAGGCTGGGGCTTTTTGAAGGATCTCTTGGCCATTTGCCAAAGAGACAGATCAATTTACAATTATGCTGATATCCTGCATTTTTAAAGACTATGTCTAACCAGCAGCTGAAGGGGGAGATTAAAGGAAAATTCAGTTCAGCAAGAATGTAGGCTCTCCCAGTAGGGAATCTGAAAGTGAGGAAAGACACTCCACTGATGCACCCTGCTTCTCAAAAATCAATGGTATAATGACAGAGTTACAGACCTTAGTTGACCTTATTATTATCTCCTTTAACTGAACAGTTTGCAAATTTGGAATAATGCCAATTACTTACCTAAAACCAAAATTTCCTACAAGACGTATTATGGATGATAGTGTCCAAGGTATACTTGCCTCTGTTATGTAGTCACATAATATGTTAATTTTAGAAGAGTAGTGGTGTTTTTGTCTACACTGATGGAAAATTAATGTGTTGGAGATGTCTCCCCAACTCGACTTCCAACAGTTTATTGAAGAAGTCATTTGATTTAATAGCTGGTATGTAACATTGTGTATTTATATGTAGGCTGAAGTTGTTAATAATGATATTTAATAGTCACTCATTTAAATCACAAAGAATAGCCAGATGTAATTTGTTAATGAATACATTAAATGTATTATGTCTCAATATCTGTGATATAATGGTGCCTCATTTAGATATCAGAAGTCATTTTACAGCAGAAGAGGCTTAGTACTCTGGACTTTCAACATCTGTTATTTCAGGTCACTGCCATGTTGTGATTTATTTAATCTATACTTTATTTGTTTTTATTTCCCCTTCATCATCATGCATCTTTGTATACTTCCTCTTTTGCACACTTCTAACTTCAGATTGTGATGCTCTCCTAAGTGGACTGGTGGTAGAATGATATATAGAGGCAGGTGAAAAGGAAGCTCCAGTGATTTACATTGAGAACTTGCTTACTGAAAATAAATTATGTCTTGGGTGATAGCCATCAATAACCACTGCAAAACATGGAGGCAAGAAAATCATGCTGCCCTACTAATAATATAATGAGCACGTGTAGCGCTTTTATGTAATTTCTGTAGACATTCAATTACTTTTATCATAGTTTGGCCTCAAAACTGTCTGCCCTTGTCAGAAAACTCTCCTTCCTGGAGTGAATGCTTTCAAATGTTGACGGAACACCGAAATTAAATGGATTTACACAAACGTGCCAAAGTTAGTAATCTCCCTGGGACCCCTGGTGGCGCAGTGGGTCAAACAGTTGTGCTGGCAGAACTGCTGACCGATAGGTCAGCAGTTTGAATCCAGGGAGAGCCGGTTAAGCTCACTCTGTCAGTTCCAGCTCTCCATACAGGGACATGAGAGAATATGGTAAAACATCAAACATCCGGGCGTCCCTGGGCTATGTCCTTGCAGAGAGCCTATTTATTTTATTTATTTATTTACAGTTCTTATATTCCGCCCTTCTCACCCCGCAGGGGACTCAGGGCGGATTACAGTAAACACATATATGGCAAACATTCAATGCCAGTTTTGACAAACAACATTTAACAGACAAAGGCTATTTAACTTTTTTTTTTCTGGCCGCCAGGGGAGCTGCTGCTTTTCATCGTCCATCAACGACACCGATGAAGTTCTTCCGCATTCCACATTCCCCGGAGTCTTCTTTCTTTATGGCCTCATAAATTAGTTAAATTTAGCCTCCCACACAAGGTGGTCCCTTATTTTCCTACTTGACAGATGCAACTGTCATTCGGGTTGCAAAGGTCGACAACGGGCTACACAATGGCTGGACACCCACTCCAGCCCGGGCTGGCTTCGAACTCATGACCTTTTGGTCAGAGTGATCTTAATGCAGCTGACACTCAGCCAGCTGCACCACAATCCCGGTTCAATTCTTTCACACCAGAAGTGACTTAAAGTTGTGGTGCATTCAGTGGTGGTGCATTCAGTCATTTCACGTATTTACATCATTCTACTATATACCAGAAATGTTGAAGTTTGCAGGAGTGTCTTGGATGAACACACTGATAACCTTTAGTTATAATTAAGCGCTATGACTCAGCAACCACACAGCATGTATGGGAAGTCCTGCCCATGTGGGGATTCACCAATGGATGCAATGATTTGCATGGGTAATGAGAGGTGCCCAGCACAACTATGGAGGATTTTACTTTGATTCGCATCCCTTGTACATGGAGGATGTGATGCTAGAGAACAATTATAAAGATACTGTGGTCTATTAAAAAGACAAATAAGTAAATCCTAGAGCAGGGGTTCTCAACCTGTGGGTCCCCAGATGTTTTGGCCTTCAACTCCCAGAAATCCTAACAGCTGGTAAATTGGCTGGGATTTCTGGGAGTTGTAGGCCAATACACCTGGGGACCCACAGGTTGAGAACCACTGTCCTAGAGCATATCGAACCAAAACACCCCCTAGAAGCCACAATGATTAAACTGAGACTATTGGCCATATCATGAGAAGGGATGATGCTCTAGAAAAGTCAATAAATCTTGGAAAAGTTGAAGGCATTAGCCAAAGAGGAAGAACACATTCCAGATGGGTTGACTGAGAATGATGTCACATTAGTATTATAAAGTGGGTGCTCCTGTTTCCCTATCATGTGTCTGCCTCCTCCAGAATTCTGGAAAATGTAGTTTAGGGCAGAGGTTTTGAAATTCTCATCTAGAGAGGACCTCGGTTTCTCTAAACTACATTTCCCAGAATTCTGCAGGAGGCAGCCACATGATGGAGAAACTGGAGGGCCTCCTTTATAACGCTAATGTTATATCATCTTGAATCAAGGAAGCCATGGCCTTCAGTCTGCAAGATTGTGAATAGGGCTTTTAAGGAGAGAGTGACTTGGAGGTCTCTCATTCATAGGTTGAAGGTGAAGTTGACTTGATGGCAGTCAACAACAACAAAGCTAGCTTGAACTAATGTTTTGCATTTCAATATCCTAAACTTATTTAGTGTTGGCTTCAGAGCTTTCTGAAGTTTGAGCCTGCCCCCTGTACAGCTATCTCTTTTCCTTTCCTATCTAAGCTTTCGTGATGAAGGCTCAAGGGAAAGCTTTGAAACAAAGCTTTCACTAGATGTAAAATGTTGATGCAGCAGTATCTTGGGTGAAAGACCAGAAAAGCAGGGGATAAGTACACTCAGAAGTTTCCATTAATTCTACATGACTTTTGATGAGTTCTCAATGTAGCCAATATTACATTAGTTTAAGGTTAGGACAATACCATGACATGGCCTACAAATGATCTAAGGTAAACCTGTTCTGAATTGGTCCTCAGGGAACAAATCCATCACCATTAATTGTTTCAATGGGCTTGTGGTTCTCCTGCCTGTGTAGATCCGTGATTCTCAATAGTTTTGCCCTCCAAATGTTTTAGATTTCAGCTCTCAGAAGCCCAGTCACTATGACTAATGGTTAGTGGTTCTGTGGATTAAAAACCAAAACATCTTTAGAACCAAGAATTGAAGAGTATTAATCAAGGTTCTGAAAAGGTGGTTGTATGCTTTCATATTGTCTATGTGGTAAGTAATGCTAAGATAAACCTATTATTGTCTTTTCATGGAAAGATTTGTTACGCAGGGAGCTGTTTGCAGTTGCACTCAACTAAGCTTGAGAGAGTGTAACTTTCCCAAGGCCTACTAGTGGGTTTCTGTGATCGAATGGGGATTCAAATCCTGGTCTCTCAGAATCCTAGTCCAATGATGAGAACATTACAACACATTAGTTGTGCTTCAAAGTATGTGTGATGATTTTCTGCCTCTCCCCATTTGCAACCTGAACCTTAAAATTCAAGTACAGAATGGGGTGTTCCAAGGTCATTAGTACTTCTAAAAACAGGAGGGCCATTAATAGTGGTGTACCTGAGAATTCAGAAATTGAGCTTGTGATTGAATCCAGATGGATGGTTTGAAAGGGAGATATTTGAAAAAAAATGTTCAGGCTTTTGTCGTGTTCTGATCTGCATCTGAA